AAGAGCTAGGGGGGCGAGGAAGCGGTCCTGAGTGTAATCAGTCATGAAGCGAGTCATCTCCCGAATCATTTCTTTGGTGGCCCCACACTTGGGTGGTTCAAATAAGTTAGCGGGCGACCACTTGACAATTTCTGAGTAGGTTTCTTTGACCCATATGTCTGCATTTTCCATCGACATGCCATTCCACTGCGGTGGCTGTCTCTCATTCTCCTCGTGGACACCTGCTACTAAGGGAGCAGCATTTGTTAGTACTACATTTTCGGGTTGAGTAGACTCACTGCTATCATTTCGGATATCATCGGGTAGTTGGGTCCCGGCGATATCACTACTACTACTACTACTACGGCTGCTACTGCCACGCATATGGCACATAGGGACCATCTTGCCAATACCTCCTGCCTGTTCTCAGGTAATCTGTTTTGTTCCCTCATGATATCTACTCGCTTTGCAGCTCAGAGGATTGCCTGGGCCTCAGGTACGTAATTTGTTGTCCTTACACAGAACACACACACACAGACAGACGAACAGACACACACAGGGTGAGATAGTCAGCCCAGGGTGTCAGTCACGTGGGTCTGACGTTATACAAGAGGAGAAATTCAACCAGTGTCACATGTTTGCGGGCATCTCATATTCCGACAGATAAGAAATCCCATTTATATTATGGAAATGAAAGAAGAGGATATGTGTGTGTGTGTGTGTGTGTGTGTGTGTGTGTGTGTGTGGTAACAATACAGTTTAATATCATGACGGTTCACTGGTAACACTGTCTTACCTGGACATTATTGCCTGAGTGTTTAACTTACACTGAAATATAATTTTACTTATATTTTTCTCTTAAGTTGTAAGTTCCTCAGATATGTAAATAAGACAAACTTTACCTGAGATATTAAGTCCATGCAATAAAACAACTCGAAATACTATTACTTGGGAAATTTCACACACACACACACACACACACACACGATATAAACGTATACACTTAATTCAGGCATGATAAGATTTACTGTTAAATTCTAAGGTGTATTATGTTAGGTATTATAGCAGTGGCAAATTTTAATCACCAGCCCGGCGAAATGTAATAATAATGACGCGTTTGATGTGAGCAGCTGCTGTTGAGTTATATAGAAGAGTAATATACTGACGGGAGCGTTTAACAGAGGAGTTATTAATATTTTAATGGTCAGACGGTCACCACTCACAGAGACCTATGGTAGGAGACAAACACAAGAGGAGACATAGGAGACACACATAATGGTGTGGTCGGAACCTGCAGATTGAGATATTTCTGTAAGAGTTGAAGACAGTGTGGCCGAAGACAGGACACACTGAGGAGAGCAAAGTGTGTATGAGTGAAGCGCTGACCTAGTACCGTAGTGTCTCTCTCTCTCTCTCTCTCTCTCTCTCTCTCTCTCTCTCTATATATATATATATATATATATAAGTAGGAAACATACAGTAATTAGCAAGGCGTCACAGACACCTGACGGCCAGACAGACACATTGAGACATGTCCTTGATTGCTACCTGAGTATACTCCCCCACCTCTCCCCCACCTCTCCCGCATCCTCTCTCACCTTTCCAACAACCTTCCTCATCTCCCCCACAATCTCTCGAAATATCAGGAATCCCTTTCACTCACTCATTTTTTTCCTCTCCCTCTCACCCCTCTCCTTTGTTTTATCAACCTATCTCCTTTTCTTGTGTCCCTCTCTTTTCCTACTTTTTACCCCTTTCCTATTCACTTCCCTCCCTCTTGTCCTTTCTCCCTCTCTTTACCTCTACTTTTGTCCTCTTATTCCCCTCCATTTCATTTCCTTCCGTTTACTCACTCTCCTCTCTTCTATTCCCGTTCTCCCTCTATCCCTCTCACTTTCTACCTCCCTCTCACCTCCTCTTCCGTCTCACTTCCCTTCTCCCTCTCATCTACTCACTCCCACTCGCCTCCCCTCTCCTGTTCACTTCCCAACTCCCTTTCACACCCCCTCTCACTTCCCTTCGCCCTCTCTCCTCTAAGCTACTCGCACTTTCTCGCCCTCTCACTTTCTCTCCCTGTCTCCTTCTCATCACCCCTCGCCCTCTCTCTCCTCCCCTCGTCCTCTCACCTCACATCCCCTCTCCTCTCGCCCTCTCACCTCCCCTCTCCTTCAATAAGCTCCGTTAATCCGAAACTAATTTCACTCTCCAAGTGGCGAAGGTATTGAGGGGAGAGAGTTGAAGTGGTTGACGATTGATGGACTGTCCGAGTCTATTGTCTTCTCTCTCTCTCTCTCTCTCTCTTCGTCTTTTCCTCACACACACACACACACACACACACAGAGATCAAACAGCCCACAATAAATATTACCCAGAGTTTAAGCAATAGAATTTTTCCCACAAACTTTGGCCAGTGATTGTGTTGACTGCTCTTCAACTCAAGGGTTACAAAGTTGCATCATTTTTTTAACCCCGCATCCCAACCCCGACCAAAAAAAAAAAAATACCTTAATAATTGATCAAAGTTTTATAATAATACTTTAAGTCCTGTCTATAACGAGTGATCTCATGGTTGTTCCTTGAGGGAGTTTAATGGTTGTTAATATTTGTTTCTGTAACCCTGAGAGAGGCGTGCTTAGGGGGGAGGGGGGAGGGAGGTAGTCGTCTTGCTGTTTATAAGAATGTTGGATATTATGGTTTGGGTTTTTTCTATAGGCTATGTAAAGTGAGAGAGAGAGAGAGAGAGAGAGAGAGAGAGAGAGAGAGAGAGAGAGAGAGAGAGAGAGAGAGAGAGAGAGAGAGAGAGAGAGAGAGAGAGAGAGAGAGAGAGAGAGAGAGAGCACAATAACATGGCTTCTCCTGATAATAATAATAAAAATTAATCAGTAAAAAATTAAATTCGTATAAGATATTACTACAGGTGTACACACTCTTCATCACACCTACACACACAGGTACCTATTGCTAGGACGACCACGACAAATACTACAGACACGAGTAATAGTGTGTGTGTGTGTGTGTGTGTGTGTGTGTGTGTGAGTTTGTGTGTGTGTGTGTGTGTGTGTGATTGTTTGACAGCCAGCGCCCCTCGTCTACCACTTTCACATGTGTGGCTTCGAATCCCATAAGGCTCAGTGTGGTCTTATGTCACTGAGTACGTTTATTGTGTGTGTGTGTGTGTGTGTGTGTGTGTGTGTGTGTGTGTGTGTGTGTGTGTGTGTGTGTGTGTGTGTGTGTGTATATGTGGTTCTCGCTCCGATGGTTGCTCGGTGCATAGATTACTTTGCAAGCGAATGGTCGTGGGTTCGATTCCCAGCCCAAGTGGAGTATTGGGTTTTCCTCCTTGTACACCAGCCCTTGTATATAGCCCTTGTACACTAGCCCTTGAACACTAGCCCTTGTACACTCGGCACTAGCTTATTACACTATCGATGGAACGGCTCTTGTTAAACCAGCATCGCGCCTAGATAAAGAGAGAGAGAGAGAGAGAGAGAGAGAGAGAGAGAGAGAGAGAGAAAATGAGAAGAAAAAGAGAGAACACAATAAATACTTCAGCCCCAGAGTGAACAATACTGGTAAAGAACATCGAGACAGAACCTCCCTACCCACCACCACACCTTCAGGATAACGGAGGACTGCTGAAGATGGTGACTTGAAGTACACCTGATGGTTTTTTTACCTTACAAATACCTCCCAATATAAACTAGGTAATAAAGGTGATGATATGAGTAGGAATAAGTGTAAGACGTAGAGGGAAAATAAAAAAGTAGAGTAATAGGGAAAATAGGAATACAGTTAGAAATAGGGAAACAGAAAATGGGGTAAAATTGGGAAAAATTTGTAAAACTCGGAAAAATAGGTAGAAATTGGAAAAGCAAGAAAAAAATTGGGGGAAAAGTTATACAAAAGGAAGATGAAAATAGGGAAATAGTGGAAGGGATTACAGATATCTCCAGTGTGTGTGTCTCGCCACTGTCAATTCAGGGCTGGGAGACGGAGGTGGACTGATGTATAGGCAGGCGGCTCTATTCACCCGCCACCACCAACACTCAATAGATGCCTGCTTGGAGTGTGTGGGGAAGGTGGGGGAAAGGGGTGGGGGAGGTGTGTGGGGAGATGTGGGGGGAGATGTGTGGGGAGATGTGGGGGAGAGATGTGTGGGGGAGGTGTGTGGGGGGAGGTGTGTGGGGAGGCTGTGTCGGGGAAGTGTGGCCGGGGAGGTGGGTGGGGGAGGTGTGTGGGGAGGTGTGTGGGGGAGGTGGGGGGCGTGGGAAGGGGAAGGTGGGGGAGGTGGGGGAAGGTGGGGAGGTGGTCGGGGGAGGTGTGGCCGGGGGAGGTGGGAGCTGGGAGGTGTGTGGGGAGGTGGGGGAGGTGTGTGGGGAGGTGTGGGGAGGGGTGTGTGTGTGGGGAGGTGTGGGGGGGAGGTGTGTGTGGGGAGATGTGTGGGGGGAGGTGTGTCGGGAGGTGTGTCGGGGAGGTGTGGTGGGGAGGTGTGTGTGGGGGAGGTGGGGAGGTGTGTCGGGGAAGGTGGGTCGGGGAGGTGCTGGGAGGTGTAGGGAGGTGGGGGAGGTGTGGGGGAGGTGGTGGGGTGTGTGTGTGTGTGGGGGGGGAAGAAGGGAGGAGATGAACAGGAAGGATGGAAGGAGAGGAAGAAGGGCTGTGGAGGGGGGAGGAGATTCGTGGGAGGGAGGGAGAGATGAGCAGGTGGTCACACAGAGAGAGGGAGAGGAGGGAGGAGATGGGGGAGAATATATTACATTACAAGAGGATGTCTGAAGGAGAGAGAGAGAGAGAGAGAGAGAGAGAGAGACCACCATCACAACTACACTAACACTACACAACCACACCAACATCATACCACCATCACACCACCACTACACCAACAGCACACCATCACCACATCAACGGCACACCATCACCACATCAACGGCACACCATCACTACACCAACACCACACCAACAACAAAGGGAAATAAGTTAGCTACAGAAAAAGGTGGAGGCAGAGATTGCATCAAATCACTCACTTTAGACGAGAGTTCACCAACTGTCTGAGAGCAACACCTAACTTAAGACGGAACTGTCGCACAGAACTGAGGGCGTTGATCATGTGCAGGAGGAGGAGGAGGATTATGTCCAGGAAGAAACAGGAAGAGGAGGGAGGAAGGAACCTGGTGTGTGTGTGTGGGTGTGGGGGGGTGTGTGGGTGTGGGTGTGTGTGTGTGTGTGTGGGGTGTGTGTGTGTGTGTGTGTGTGTGTGAGGGTGAACGAAGGCCCCCAGCAAGCAGGGAAGAGTCTCGACATATCTATAGTTAGGTTTGATCAGGTACAAATAGCGTTCCCCCTTCAGCACCCCGTCAACGTGATGGTAATGCAATATTTACCTCCCCCTCTGAGTGAAAGAGAATCATCGCTACAGTGACGGTCAGAGGTGAAAGGCTCTCTCTCTCTCTACCTTCTCCCTGTTAAGGCGTCAAGACTCAAAATAAATATGTGACTTTCAACCTTAAAACCACCTATGAAGAACCCCGGACAGGTGAGCACCCCCCTCCCCCATCACCTACCCCTCACGCCTTCCTAGACATACCTCCAGGACCCCACCCTCCACCCTCTCTTCAGGTGTCAACGATGCCTTGCTCTGGGGCGTCTATCCTACTAGCCCAAGCAGAAGCAGGGGGAGGGGGGGGGGGTTTACTCCACCCACATTAAGCTTATCTGATGGATCCTCCCTCATCTTGAACACCACCTGCAGCTTAATACAACGCCTTCATCCTCTACTCCTGTTGTTACACCCACCCACCAGTCACTAACCTTAGGCCTCCTTAAATGTCATCAACCACCCTAAGTGCGTTTGTGATATCGATTCTGGGAGAATAGTGTCAACCACCCACCACTGTAACCTGCCTTGACCTTCCTCTTTCTCTCCTACCACTGTAACCTCCCTGACCTCTCTTTCTCTCCTACCACTGTACCATTCCTCACTTCCCTACCTCTCACACCTCAGTGACCCTGGATTTTACTGTTCCTTAATCAATATCGTCCTCCCACAGTGAAGACAATGACAGCTTCCCTCTGGTTGTTCTGAAGCGTGTGTGTGTGTGTGGGTGTGTGTGTGTGTGGGTGTGTGTGTGTGTGGGTGTGTGTGTGGGTGTGTGTGTGTGTGTGTGTTACATCATCTTTACCCGTGATGTCGCACAACTCTCCTGGCAGACTTCCTCCAACACTGCCTTAGTCACGTCAACACTAACTTTACCGTCTCTCCTGTGTTCAGTTGTAATCTCCTGCCATTAGTTTCCTTCTTAATAACGAGCCACGTTATCCTGCAGCCTTCCTACTACAGTGTACAGTATAACTTCATTTGTACACATACTGGACGTCCTGTACACTGCCAAGGGCCTGCGAGACGAAGCTCCCCGTGATTTTGAGCATCTACATAATTATTCCAATTATAGTAAATAGTGCAGCCATGTAGCCCGTCATGGTGGTGCAGTTCTGTATCTCATTGTTAGACACACCTGTTCTAGACGAGATGGCTTACAGATTCAGCAGGTGTACATGGTGACTGTTTACAGAGGAATACGTGCATATCCTGGGATTATTATAGAAGGAATAATCTATTGAAGCTCTCACGCTAACGCCAGCAAGTTTCTTCATAACATAAATGAACTAATCTCCCACATAAAATTGTTGACGGAAGAAGACTTTTATTACGGTAGATCTCGACTTTGACCCTACTTAGACGCGCACCTCAGTCATACACCTGCTTGCTCCCTGCTATTCTACCATCTTTGTCAGCACAGCAACCACACCCACCCGTCAGTCGTTCACCACTGAAATATTAACACATGGGTTGATGCAGCGCTCGAGTCGTGCCCGGACAACTCCGTCAGGCTTATGAGACCAAATTTCATTAAGCTCTTACATCCTCACTTGAGTTACTATCAAACACTGTAGCGAGACTCGGCCACGGCTCAGACAAAACCTCCGGAAAAAAGTTACGAATGATAGAAGTCATCCCTCAGTCTCCGGGGAGCAGCCCAGTGTAGTACTATACGGGAGTGACAGTCTCCTCTGCTGCTGTCACAAATAAAAGTGTTTCCAGTCCGAGTAGTCCGTTCTCCAGTCTCTTGCCCAGCAGCTCAGTTCTTGTGCGAGTTTTTCCCAGATGTTTCGGTTGATGTCAATGTTATTAAGGTCGCCCCTGTAGAGGTCTTTGTATAGCAAACGATGGGCTCTGACTGGCCTGCCTGAGGCTACCTCCCGCCCCGTAAAGGAGGTCCTTCGTCCGTCCACACTGACACTACAAACTACTGTACAACCTCACCACAGCCCCACCCCACCACCACACCACACCACAGCCCCACCCCACCACCACCACACCACCCCACCCACCACCACCACCACACCACACCACATCTACTTATAGAAGCAACAACTCAATCAGTCGATCACGTTGATCATCATAACTTTGTTACCGCAATAAAATTACCCATACAAGATGGACCCTTCCCTCTGTTGTACCTGTGTTATAATATTCCTTGTGTATATCTTATTATTTATTTGCTTTTTATCTTTTCTTGGTACGGCAGATTTCTGTGAGTGTCTGTCTCTTAGTCTGTCTAGTTTGTCTGTCTGCCTTCCTGTCTGTCTGTCTCTTTGTCTCTCTATCCGTCTGTCTCTCTGTCTGCCTATCCGTCTGTCTCTTTGTCTGCCTATCCGTCTGTCTCTTTGTCTCTCTATCCGTCTGTCTCTTTGTCTGCCTATCCGTCTGTCTCTTTGTCTCTCTATCCGTCTGTCTCTTTGTCTCTCTATCCGTCTGTCTCTTTGTCTCTCTATCCGTCTGTCTCTTTGTCTGCCTATCCGTCTGTCTCTTTGTCTCTCTATCCGTCTGTCTCTTTGTCTGCCTATCCGTCTGTCTCTTAGTCTCTCTATCCGTCTGTCTCTTTGTCTGTCAGTCAGTTTGTTTCTCTTCCTTCTCTCTCTCTTTTAACTGCTAGTCGTGTCACTTTCCACTCTTTTCCCGTATCTTTTCTGTCTGTCTGTCTCTCTCTTTTTCCTTTGTTTGTCTCTTTCTCTCGTCTCCTACTCTTCCTTTCTTCCTCTATCTCTCATTTATATATTCAACATATACTTTTGATCCCGCTTGGCTCACGTATAAATTTATTCTCATAAA